AATCCCCAGCCGAGGACCTGCACCCCAGACCTCCTCCCAGAGCCTTAGGCAGGTGGGGCGGGGGGATCTGGGCACCCCCAAAATTTCTACAACCCTGCCACCCATGCGAGTGGATAAGGGTCAGGGCAGTCAGGGGGACAGGTAGGGTCCTGGGGGGGGGGGCAGTTAGGGTAGGGGGTTCTCAGCAGGGGACAGTCAGGGGACAGAAGCAGGGGGGTTGGGTTCTGAGGGGAGCAGTCAGGGGGTGGGAAGTGGGAGGGAGTGGATGGCGCGAAGCTAGGGCGGGGCTTCCCTCCCCCCAGTGTCCTCTTTTTTGTTTGTGGAAATATGGTAACCCTAGGGAACGGGGACACCGAGCAGGGCCCCTCACCTGCTACCACCAGCTGCACGGGGTCGCTGGGCTCTGAGGAGATGAAGGGCTCTGATTGGAGCCGGTAGCTGCAGCTGTAGTTCCCTCCCTGCTGCCAGCCCATGGTGGTGATGAGGAACTCGACCCCGTCCCCAGCAGGATCCATGTGTCGCTGCGGGTTCCGGTCTCCAGCCTTGTGCAGGAAGAACGTCACGTCCCGGTGCTGCCCCTGACACTGGATGGTGACGTTTGCCCCTGGGACGGTGACTCCAGTGGGGCTCAGAGAGATGGAGGGTCTGGGTAAGCTGGGATCTGCGCACAGGAGACAGGCTGTTAGAGCCAGACCCGGGTACCCCCCCAGCCCCGGCCTCGCTGGCCGGCCACCACCCTGGGCAGATCCTAGGGCCCCCGGACAGAGATTCTCTCCCAGATCCCAGAGTTCCCCCCACCCACAATCCCGGCCCTGCGAACCTGGCTCCCAGCCCCACAGACATGGAGCCGTGGCTCCCTAGTTCTTGGGATCTTCATATGCCCATGTGTGGCCCCTGCCTCATTCACTGCATCCAGCCCACCTAGCACAGAGCGACTCACGAGCTGGTCTCTGGTGCCTAGCACCGCCCAGCACCACATCCGTACACAAGAAGGGAGTCAGCCTCCCATTCTACATAGCGGGAAACTGAGGCACAGACATAGTCACTTTCCTCAGTGAGCTCCCAGGGGAAGGGACTGTCCTTCATTCCATGTTTATGCAGCGCCTGGCACAACAGGGCCCTGATCATGGCGCGGGCCCTACATGCATCCGCAACACAAGGGATCCAGCGCGATTGAGGCCAGCGTTTACAGAGGTCT